GCCCTCCTCTTTTTCCTACCAAAAGCAAGCCACTCTCCCTACCACAGTGTTTTCCTCCCCAGTCCTGGTACCCAAATGTGGCTTCACCACAAATCTCTGTCCAGGAAAACCCAATAAGACCCCAGAAGCCCTACTTGCCATGGTGAGGTATAGAGAGGGGGCAAGGGCCGGCAAGCAGAGTCACCTACCAGTTTCCAAGGTTTCTGGCAGAACTTCCAAACAGTGTCATTGACAATGTTCAGCGGCTGCCTGGAGGGGAGGTTCAGAAAGAGGAAAGAGAAGTAAAAGTTGTAAAATGCCTGGGTTTTGGAAGACTGCAGACCCCATAGCCAGTGCCACCCTGAGGGCAGAGGGAAGCCTGTATTGTCAGGAATTGGTCTTCTTGGTCTGCTCGATGGACTGGAACCCTTTGATTGTCTGGGGTTCGTGAAGACAGACATCCAGGGTGTGTCCAGCAGGTCCTGTGTGCTAAAGGCTTTCTTTCTTAAGGTCAGTTGATGGTGGCTCACAAGGTAGACAACGCAAACATTTATGTTGTTGCTGTTGAATCCCAACACTTGAATTGCTTTAGATGTGTTGCTTCTGTGATCTGTTTCAGCTTGGTTTTATCTAGTCCTGGGTCCAGAAGAGCTGGACGGCAGCAGCTCCTAGAATGGCCGAAAGGGTCAGCACTGCAAATACTACTCCAGCCATCCAGATGCTGTAGCTCTGAGCCCGCCACTGGGTCAGTGCCTCAGCGGGAATCATGCCTGTAAGGTTCAGCATGTAGCCCAGTGTCCAGCCAATGTCCATGCCACCTGCCTGTGAGACACACAGCTGTTCAGGGCTGCTGGGTGGCTGTCCCAGGCCCCATCCCATTCTCACCCTGAACCAGACATGCTGAGGCTCTAGGTGGCAGTCACCTGCTTCTGGAACTGGATGTTGGGCCAGGTCTCCTCACTGAATTTGTAGCCCTCTAGCAGCAACACCAGGATATACAGGCCTGAGGCACAGTAGTCCCGTAGCCAGCGTTCTTGTCCAGGGTAGCTGGCTTCCACCTTGAGTTCCAGAAGCTAATGAGTAAGTGAGGCTCCAAGGCCTCCTAGCACTCTCCTCCCACCTCCAGCTATAGTGGGGCCTCCATACATCCAAACAGTTTCCAGACAGGAGGAGAGTGTTAAATGTTTTTAACAGCCCCTCCTTAATTCCTGGTGGAGACTCTCCTCCAGCTAGGAGTGGGTGGGGTGGCCAACCTTATAACAACCAGAAGCTGATCCCAACAGGGACCTGCACATCTTTCTACCCAAAGCAAGCCACTCTCCCTACCACAGTGTTTTCCTCCCCAGTCCTGGTACCCAAATGTGGCTTCACCACAAATCTCTGTCCAGGAAAACCCAATAAGACTCCAGAAGCCCTACTTGCCATGGTGAGGTATAGAGAGGGGGCGAGGGCCGGCATCCAGAGTCACCTACCAGTTTCCAAGGTTTCTGGCAGAACTTCCAAACAGTGTCATTGACAATGTTCAGCGGCTGCCTGGAGGTGAGGTTCAGAAAGTGGAAAGTGTAGTAAAAGTTGGAAAATGCCTGGGGGAAGTAGAGAATGCTCTGTCAGCCTGAAGGAGGCTCCGGACACTTTAGCCAGGTATTCCCTCCAGCTTTGGAATCCCCAGGAGGCATCGGGGCACCTCCTATTCTACCTGTCCTTGGAGCCCCTCTGGTCAGAAGGGCACCTGGGGCCCCAGGAGGAAGCCAGAGCTTGGTGGGCGTGCTTACATAGAACTGGCCATGCACAGGAGGCTGGTAGACTCCATTGAAAGCACAATCTTCTTGGCCCTTACAGCTGGAGAAATTGAAGAGACGGTGGAGGGCTGCCACACAGTCCCCGGGGTTGCCTATCCCTTCAACTGTGATGTTCTGGGTGAAGTTCAGGGAATCTGTAGTGTGGACACAGGGTGACTCATACAGTGGCGCCAGTGGCAGTGTGGCCTGGTAGCCGCTGTGGTAGCATGGGTGTCTGACCCGGGCTACTGGGCTTCTCTGCAGAGAGAGGAAAGGGCATGAACCCCAAGCCCTGCAATAGTCTGCCACTCTACCCCATGCCTTCCCACGTCTCCACCCTTCAAATACAAGCCTAACCTGTGCCAGCTCTGCCAGGAGCCTCCTCAGGACCTGGTCTCGCCCATAGCAGAGGTAGCTATGAGTATAGATGCTGTAGTTGGCACCGTACAGACGGAAGGTAGCCTGGGTGCTCTGGTCCAAGATGGGGGCCTGAGGCACGAAACTGATCTGGGTGGAGGCCCCACCCAGGTCCAGAGCACCAACCAGTATCCTCTCTTCAGGCAGGATCCACTGTCCAGAGGAATACTGATCACAGACGAAATGCTTAGATCTGGGCAGCCACATTGGCCCTCAGCTGCTGGCCAGCCAGCCCCAGGCACTGGCCTCTCAGGCAAATCCCCCACCCTTAGGCTGTCCCTGCACCTTGAGGAGCATTCCCAGGACATAGTTGATAGTGATCCAACCAAAGGCCCCTTCATCCTTCCCAGTCAGGATCTTGGCACCCCAAAAATCCACGGGAGACTTGCTTAGTATCTGGGAGACTGCAGCTAGGATGTCTCTTGCCTGAGAACTGTTCTTCTGGCTGGGCAGAGAGGGCCATGATGGAGGAGAGCCTAACCCCAACCTCCACTGTACCTCAGCCCAGTCTCTTCTTCACCCCAGGGTATCCAAGCCTGGCTTTCTGGAGTGACCCTAACAGATGCAACTGTTACTATCTTACCTGAGCAGCCTCATTCCAGCCGTGGCCCCCAAGAATGTGGGTGTCTCTTGATGCTGGCTCTGTGGGATCAATGCCAGTGCCTCCTCCAGGCAGCTCTTCAGGCTTTCCCCAGCCTGTGCTGGGTCAGAGGCATAGGAAGAGATCCCAGGTCCTGAAACACAATACCCTAGGAAAAGGCTCCAGATCTGAAGGTTGGGACTCAGTGATGGCCCCCCAGAGATGCAACACACCCTAATGTTTGGAACCTGTGAATGCAGCCATTTTTGGAAGAAGGAAGTTCCCAGGTTGATTACGGTTTTTTGAATGGGGTGTGATGGTGCTTGCCCACCGCCATAATACTCAGGAGGCTGAGGCAGCAGCTAAAGGGCTCAAGGTCAGTCTGGGCTACACAGCAAGACTCTGTCTCAAATAACAACCAAGGAAATGTATAAATAGGGCTGGTTTGGTTGCATAGTGTGCCCCAATCTAGTGACTACAATCCTCACATGGAAAGGTAGGAAACCCCAAGTTTCTCCCGCTTCTGGGCTTCTGGGGAGTGTGCCTCTGCCACCCCCAGGCCTCAGGCTTTTGATCTCTAGCACTGACAGGAACCCCAGGAAATGAATTCGGGCCCAGCACTTGGTGGCTTCTGTCATCAGTGTGGTGTGGTACCTAGATGGGAAGCTCCAGGACACCAGAGAAGGCAGATATAGGATCAGATTGGGAGAGGTACGATGTCTGATGTCTGTGTGTGTATTCTCATCAGAGCCAGCCCAGCTGTGTGACCTTGCTCCTCACGTCACTGCTCCAAGCCCTTGTCCATTAGGGTGGTGTGCTTTCCTGAGGACTAGACACATAGCTTCTACCTGTCACCAAATGGTCTTTCACACCAGGCCTGGGAGTCCAAGCCAGGTCGCAATGACCTACCATGGGACTGCCCACTGACCTTCTATCTGGCAAGTCAGGGCCTGGCTGACTACTCCTGTGTCCTTCTCCTTGTTTGCTGGCCACTGGTACACAAACAGGGATGTGTGGGAGGAGCCGGCATCAAACACGATCCCAAACTAAGGACAACATTGGGATCAGAAAGGTGTGGAAGCCAACATCCTGGCCACCCTGCCCAACATCCTCATCTGGTCTCTGAAGCAAACCTTGGTGTCTGCAGGCAGGAAGACATTGGTTGCCTTCACCAGGATGAGGATGAGCATGGTGAGGCCTGAAGCTGCTGCAATCCCCAAGAGGGCTGTAAAAACCCGTTCCTTCAA